GTGACATCGTTTCCGACAGTCGACGGATCATCTTCTGGTGTTCTACTTTTACTTGTAATCACGTCGTACGCAAAGTAACGAGCGTCTGGACGATGATTCATTAACCCTTCCGCTCGAAATACGACATTCTCTCATATATTTTTTTCAACATTTTTCTCCATTGTAAAATACAACGCTGGTTATTATTTATTCGCCGTTAAAATGATACTCTCGCGAAAAGAATTTCATATTTTTTCGCTCGGCTAAAGCTGAAAGGTAAAAGAGCTCGTGAACAGTAGCGATAAGGGTCGCTTCCAACGGCATCGAATTCAGAGGTACCCCTAGCGTCGAGTAAAATTAGGGGTTGCAAGAAAGACAGTCTCTCCCCTTGACTTGGTTTCGAGAAGGGGACAGAAACGTAATTTGCAACGCCTTCGTAGATGGCCCGTTGCTTTCTGTATCGTTGACTTCGTCTCGTTGGTTATCGAAATGGCTGCGTGTTTCGATCATACGTCTTCTTCTGGTAATACGTATCTGTTTCTTTTGCTGATCGATAATTCATGTAAATCCGGCTGCTTCCCTCGTCGAATGATTCATCCTCGCAAAGGATTATATGTGCAGACATTCTGTACATTTTATTACTTTAAATCAAAGTTTCATCGAGATATCCTTTACTTAATTTGATTAATGTAAACGAGAAACGAAGGAAAAGAATCGATGAACTAGTTTTCCCTCTTACCTTAAACCCCTTTAACCTGAATGCAGACAGTGCAGTCCCTGCTCGAGTCGTAAAGTGAAATGTTAACCTGAATTTATGTCTCGCGCGAGATAAATCGGTGAATTTATTAAAGGTGCACCCATTGAATCGAATCGGAAACTCGTATCGTTTACGATCGATTGCCCCCCGGTGCTCGTCGGTTCTTCAAACTTTTATCGCGTCAACATCGTGAAATTTAATGAGTTTTTATTTGTCTTTAACAATTGAATATTATCCAGTTATTATCAAAAGGGTTACCAATTCCATCGTAACTGGGTTTCTTTTAACGAACGTCGGTCTAATGGTCACGCGAGTAAATTATTTGCTCGGTACGATTCATCATCGTGTAATCGTGTTTCGTGCACGAGTTCTGAATGTAGAGAATTCATTTGTGCATCGAACAGAGGGTGATTCGTCTAGGTGTACGCCCCTGCAACGCAATAACGTCCGATCGGCCACCCCTGAAACGAGCGCGAGCGGTTGCAAGAGCCCCGAGTAGAAGGGTGGAAGGGCGTAGTCCCGAAATCACGTGCTTCTATATATCCATTCGAGAAGACGATATTCGAGGGTTCGAAAATAAGCCCGACAAATCTGCGGGGGGTTTGTTAGACTCTCGCGAACGAACGGTCTACGTAACTGTTGTGCCCGCGATAAAACTGGCCGGATTATCCGTCCGTTGCGGGGGTGTGTGTGTATTGCATTGAAAACTCTCGGTAAAAGTATACATTCCTCGGTAAAGAAAACAAACGGGAATGTTTCCACATTTTCTTGGCTTGTTTGCGAACTCCGTAAGTGGTTCCTTCTTTTCTTTTTCAACAATTTAGATTCTTGTTTTGATATTCGTCGCGGGGATGAAATACGGGGTGATTGTTCGGACGGGGGTAATATTTCAGAAGGAAGGAATGATATTAGGGAGAAAAATGATGCGAGGGAAAGATTCAGATTATGTTTCAGGAAATTGAAATAAATCTTTGAAATTGTTGTTAGTTAAAGTAACTCGACCGATTTTAACCCTCTATGTATTGCATTCTGTTCCTAATTGGGAATTTAAATTTCAAATGTTCTATAGTAAATTAAGTAGACAATACTGAAGACTCTGAGTTGGTTCCAAGTGGGAACATTGCGCAATTTTCTAATAAAATTTCATTATTTATTTCATAACCACACTCATTTTTAAGTAGACTAACAGTCATATATCTTTTTTTCAACTCGTCATAAAAATTCATGCAATATAGGGTTAAAATAAATTTTTTACGTTAAATGTCCATGCAATATGTAAAGAATCACCCGTTCGAGCCAGGAATATTGTTTAACATTCCGTACACGCGAATTGCCTCACCATACGAAGCTGTTAATCATGCAGCGACAGCACACCATAGCCGTGACATCGTAACCCAGCCATCCACCGATTAAGCAAAAGGTTCCGAGCTTTGGCAAGCGGCTCGTTTAACGCTCGGCATTGTTCACTTTTCTTTTCACCATGAAAAACTTCACTGTTCCCTCCCATTGGATGCACTTTCCCTCGTTTTAATCCTTGCGTATTGTCGGGAGGACCTCCGGTGCCCCTGAAAATAGCGGCAAAGTGCGTCAGTAGGATGTTTTAATTCGTCTTTGTCAATGGTGCAACGAAACGTCGCCATTGTTCGTCACATAAAAGCCCCATCAGATAGCGAGTATATACGGACCACCATCGTGGGATATCGACCGTCTACTCGGTCTGTACATGTGTTTCCATGGTGTCTGTGTACGACAGGGCCAACAGAGAGGAAAGGATATCGTCCCAATGCTGGTGTCCTATGAAAACGTTACTCTACTCGCGCCATGGTGTCCTCCATGGGGTTCGTCGTAGGGTGAGCTTTAAGCTTGCGATATCCAAATCGAGGAACCTTGCAGTGGCCATCGTGTTATGTTGAATATCCAAGACAACCCTTCGGGCTGTTTAATTAAAAACTTGTGCCACTGCGATATGGCATATTTTGATTAAAGGAAACATTTTTTGGCCCGTCAAGTTTTCCTGCTCGTCCGAGGGACGTTTCTGCGGGTTCCTTTGTCCACGAGGGAAACACTGTTGGCAAGCATTTTCCATCGCATCGATAACGTTTGGGGTCGTTGCCGAGGGTTGCTGAACACGATGGACTTGCTTTAGGGGAAGTAAATGATGGTGGTGCTTTCTCGGATACTTATTGGAAGCTTAGCAGTTGTTGCTTTGGACATTTTTGTTCGCATCGAGGTCTGATTACGTTTCACGTTTTCACGACGACGGAATAATTAATTCCTTTAATGAACGTACAAATATATCACCGGATTGAATTCGTGCGACCATTTAAAAGCGTCCACGAAAAATCTGAATTGCTGATTAATTGAGTTATCTTTGAATCGGTTGAACGCGATTTAAACACACGTATAAATCACAGCCACGAGGCTGCTTTCGCGGTTTTAGTTAAATCCACACTGATACACCGGCCAGGAGAGAAAACATAAATACCACGGCCAACTCGAGCCTCCTTTTTTTTATTTTTTCTCTCCATCCAGCTCGATTCAGGGCGGAAAGCAATTGCCACGGTCCCTCTCGCGCGTTATTAACGAGAAATATCGAAGAGAACCGCATCCTGAATTACAGTCGGAGAAATTACACGCTCGAGCGTGTGGCAAGATTAAGTGTCGCGTCTATATTAAGTGTCCCTGTTCGCGAATATCTCATCCAAAATTCATTGATGTCACTTTCGAACTCCATTTGCATACTCGATTCTATGAATAAGAACCTTTGTTTGAATCCCTTCGAGATCCATTAAGGATTTTCTCCATTCCTAGAAGTCCTTAATAAATTCGCTTAAAATTATCTGTTTTTTTTTTTTTCAACTTCTACAAAATTATTTCTATCGAAAAACGATTGTTTTATCGCGAACAATTAAAACCGAGAGAAATTACGATCGTTTCGCGAGGAATTCCACTGTCTCGGTTAACGCGAAAAGTTGAAAATATTTCCACCGGTCGCTTCTGAAATAACAAGCTCTCCTGTGGAAACTTGAAATTCTCCAGTTCGTAATTACGTACAGTGTAATGGTGTGTCATAGACGACAGAAAGCATCATCGTATTCCACTAAACGAGGTCTCTAGACACGGTCTAAGTTTATTTATTCTTATTATCCGCGGTTTCGTGTACATATTAAAATCGTCGCATCTGTTTATTTGAAAAACCAATTTAAATCAGGAATATGATTCAACACAATTTTCCGAGATGGTTTCTTATTTTTAGAAAAAAAAATTTAATATTCCTTGGAGTCTATGTGTACCTCTTTAAAATGATTTAAAGTTACATAATTCTGTTCCTTCAAATGCTAACAAAGGATAATAGAAACTAATTTACATTTTTCCGTGACCGTGTTAATTAGAGAAAAATGCTTTTCTTTCGGTGGTATTAAGCGTTTTCGAATGAGAACAATCGCCTAGTTAACGTTCCTATTGCTGCCCCCTGTTACGCTCATTCTAATTTAGCATGTTACTCGGAAACGCTGCTTGCATGCCTGATTTGTCTCGCAACACTGGAAGGAACACGGTAAAGAAGATGCATGGGGTAGAAAAAAAGGGAAACGAGAGAACGCCCTAAAGTCTTCTTTAAATACAACGTGATCGATGATCCAAACGGAGGGGTCTCAGTGTTTAGTGAAAACAGTTTCATAAAATCGTTCGAAATATTAGCTCTGTGTCCAGAAACTTTGCTCGTTTATTGTAGCCGTCGTGGATGGAGATAATAAAACCTGTCCGCCTTTAATCTTAATCAGACTTTATGTATGGAGCTACCTATGTACAAAGAACTTTTCTTGTTTATACAAGGTATTTCTGATCTGATAGTCTAACCAGAAGGGAGAATGAATCTAAATGGAAAAATGAGTCAGAAATATAGAGTGATATTTCTTCCTGCGAGGTTTCATTTCTGAATCAAAATTCTTATATTTTAAAAAGACCGCTAAAACAAGTGGCGTCATCTTCTGTCTGGTGCTAGAAAGAAGCTTTTTTGTTCCACCGATAGGGAGCGCAAAAAATATATTTTAAAAGCGCCCTCTAATGAGAAAAAGGAGAACTACGAATCGATGTATTTTTTGCGCTCCCTATCAGCGAAACAAAAAAGCTCATTTTTAGCATCAAGTAGATGGCGCCACATGTTTTAGCGGTTTTTTAAATATAGGAATTTAAATGAATTTTTAACAGGGATTTATTAATAGTACGCTATTGTTTAAATAGATATATACTAATTTGATTTCAGGTGTGAGGGTTTAATAAACACGCGATGGAGAGAAGAAAGTGATGCTGAAAATCGAAACGGAAGCCTCCGTCTTTCGAAATCGTGTTCACCATCGGAGATGGAGACTTTCCTCGGGGCACGTATCGAAATAGAAGGCGCTTAGAATCTCTGGATCTAAAGGGGAACATCGAGCACGGGGTCCAAAATGGGCAAGTGTTGCAGCAAACGGCAAGAGCCGCAACCCCTTGGTGAGTAACACGCACCCCAATTATTCTCTTCTACAACTACTCTTCTCTGCTTTCAATCTTTTATCATCTTTCTCTAAACTAAACAATGTCCTAATATTAATGTTCGGTCATTTACATTCATTCGTAAAGTCATCTGAAATTTAGTGTTCATAAACGAGGACGATTGAAATCGGTTAAATCGTCCGGCAAAACCCAAAGTCAGTGACCTAAGGAAGAACATTCATCACACTTTCGGGTAACAAATGTTGGTTCCATTATCCAGGTTACAAGAAAGCAGACACAGGACTAAGCTCAAAGCATAGCAATGGAGGTTCCTTGGACCGGTACACCGCTGACCCAAATCAAAGGGGTGTGCAAGCAAGAGCGGATATTATTCGACCGAGGCCAACACCTTGTAAGCTACAGATTCCGCATCAACCCCGTAAAACAAGCTCGCCTGTCGTTAAGCCTGCATGTGTGTATTTTATGTTACATTTTTTATTTTATTTCCTAGCATAGTGTATCTTAAGTTTACCAAATTAAATTTATTTATAAGAAATATTTCATTTCTTTTTCTTAATTAATTTCGTTGCTTAATCGAGGCTTGCAAGAAATATTAATTTCCATGAAACTTATGGCTGTGAAGAAATCAATTTATATGTTCCTTTTTTTTTTATGTTATCATTAACATATCGAAGACCATGAATTACAATTAGCTTCTATGTTTTTTATTTTAACCGTAACTAAAAACTGTAACTAATTCAGTTGCATATTCCCATTTTCGCTCGTGTAAATTGAATAAGTACCGTGAACAACTGTGTCGTGGCTACTTCCAACGTTTCGACCGATATTCTATCAATGTTTGCGGTTCGATCGCAACCGATACACCGGAGTCCGACAAAATTACGATTCATCTTGCTTAAATAGCTTCCATTTGGCGTTTCGTGTAAATTCTATTGTTCCCGATACAGCGCATTCACAGAGATCGAACAAGATCGTGGTAGCTCTCTACAATTACACTGCCCGCGAGAGTACCGATGTCAGTTTCGTGAAGGGCGATCGAATGGAAGTATTGGACGACTCGGAGCCTGACTGGTGGAAAGTTTTACACTTGACGACTTTACAAGAGGGTCTTATTCCTTGGAACTTTGTCGCCGTTGAACGTTCGGTGGAGAGCGAAGAGTGAGTACCAGTTACTTTAATCCTCAGAAGTAATTACAGGCGAATATACTGGTTGTCAGTAAACAGGGATTTCCGTGATTTATAATCATAGTTTCTGTTGTTAATTATAATGCTTCGTAGAATAAAGATCCTCTTTCCTTCTTTAGTTCGCGACGGCTTAATCTTTCTACCATTAATCCTCGCTTCCTTAAAACTGCTCTATGTACATCGTCGACGTTGTTCTCTTCCAGTTGGTTCTTCGAAAACGTCTCGCGTAAAGAAGCGGGTAAGTTGCTCCTTGTGGACGAGAATCCACGTGGAACGTTCCTGGTTAGACCCAGCGAGCATAATCCCAGAGGATACAGTCTGTCCGTGAAGGACTGGGAGGAAGGCAGGGGTCATCACGTAAAACACTATAAAATTAAACCGCTCGACAATGGGGGCTTCTTTATCGCCACCAACCAGACATTCCCCACTCTGCCGGCCCTTGTTATGGCTTACAGCAGTAAGTCTCCAATTTAACTGACTGATTCTGTTCACCATTGTAGATTTTCATTGAAATCCTATTCCTTCATGACAATTCAACTCGATGTTGCAGAGAACGCGTTGGGTCTCTGTCACGTGTTATCGAAGCCGTGTCCAAAACCACAGCCAGACATGTGGGATCTCGGGCCTGAATTGCGTGACAAATGGGAGATCAACAGGAACGAGATACAGTTGATACGGAAATTAGGTCACGGTAATTTCGGCGAGGTGTATTACGGGAAATGGAGGAACAAGATCGAGGTGGCTGTGAAGACGTTGCGACCCGGGACCATGTCGACCGAAGCATTCCTTCAAGAGGCTGCGATAATGAAACAGTTCCGGCATAGACACCTGGTCGCGTTGTACGCGATCTGCTCGAAAGAAGAACCGATCTATATCGTCCAGGAGTACATGTGTAACGGAAGTCTGTTGGATTTCCTTAGAACAGGGGACGGCAAGTACATGCAGTTCGAGGACCTGATCTACATCGCGGCACAGGTCGCCTCTGGCATGGAACACCTTGAGAGCAAACAGCTGATACACAGAGATTTGGCGGCGAGGAACGTGCTTATCGGTGAAAAGAATAAAGCGAAGATATGCGATTTCGGCTTGGCGAGGGCGATCGAGAACGACGAATACTGTCCGAAACAGGGGAGTAGGTTCCCTGTTAGGTGGACGGCGCCAGAGGCAATTGTATATGGGAGATTCAGCATCAAAAGCGATGTTTGGTCTTATGGTATCTTGTTAATGGAGCTCTTTACTTATGGCCAAGTTCCTTATCCTGGTATGTTCTTTTATAGTTTTTCCATTTTTTGAATTTTTGATAGGTAATATTTATAGACCATTGGAGGGTGAAATCGTCGTTTTAAAAATTCATTTTGATCTTCCAGGTATGCAGAGTCGTGAAGTAATCGAGCAGATTAACAAAGGCTATCGAATGCCTAAGCCATTGAATCACCCGCTGCCGGACAGCATTTATCGATTAATGTTGCAGTGCTGGGATGCTAGCCCCGAGAAGCGACCCACGTTCGAGTTCCTTAATCACTATTTCGAGTCATTTAACGTCACTAGCGAAATACCGTATCTCGAACCGCCAACAGACTGATACACAGCTCACATGCAGAGTCAGTACCTGGTACCGCATGGTCATTTTCACCCAGCGCACATCAACTGTGCCATGGAATTTTATGGTATTTATTGCTAGATCTCTGGCGAACATCTGAAGAAGCTGTTACCGTGTTCCCTTTTTTTCTTGTTTTCTTTTTTCTTTCTTTGTTCACACATCGCAGAATTTCTGCGCGAAGAAATATATTCCAGAGAGAAAAGAAGGAGAAGAAAGAGAAAATTCATACAGGAAGGAAACAAACGGATATTTTACAAAGAAACTATGGTGGCGAGAATTTTATAAACGTTACCGAATATCTCAAAGCAATCGTTAAATGCTGCCAAAATTGAAGAAGTGTACTTTTTTCATTTCTTTCATTTCATCGTCATCGAGTAAGCATCTCAAGGACAATGATCTTGTGTGCCATGGAACTTTAGAAAAAAAAAAGAAAAAAAAGAAACAAGTATTGTATTGTACTTTGAAAAGTATTTACAAGACTTTGAATCTTTGTGACCAATCGTGAATAACTGCCGATTAAAATATCAAGTCAAACGTTACGACTGAAGATTAAAAAAAAAAGAAGAGTATAGAAATATCTCTGCCCGCTAACGTATCCAGTATCTATTATAGAATTTAAACAGGAGAATCGTTCATCGTTCGAAACTATTTAATAGGAATTTTCACAATTTGGAGAGTATATTAAAAATAACTGACGAAGGTATCGATTATCTAAGAAAAGTGTTTAGAAAATAGGAACGGAACCAGTTGAAAGCTAAAAAAATGTAGAGTTTTAAATGGTAGACGATGTAACCGATTATATTAGTCCGTCAACGTACAGATTACAGTGCAGAAAGGGAAGCATTCGCGCTGTACGTGTAATTAGCGCGATCACTTCTCATTGATCTCGAAACGATCGTAACTGATCTTTCCTATGATCCAAATTCTTCTTTCTTTTTTTTTAATACAACTCTTAAAAATCTAGATGCATCGTTTATGCGTCTAATGATCTTTTGATATGTATTAGAACACGATCACATTCTACGACAAAATAGGGGTAAACGAGATTTCGTTTGATTTCGAACGATACGTCGAGTAGGACAATATTTTGTACAAGAGATTAATACGCTTTACACGTGAAAAAAGGAAGAATACCTCTTGGGTATAATTTTTGTTCTATGAACAGTGTATTTTAACCCTTTCAACAGTCTACAAAAGGGTTCAAAAGCACGCCTTAATTTTTTCTTTTCTATACACGTCTTGTTATTTTTTACTGTGATTGCACTCTGTAAAGAAGGAAACAGAAAACTACCTGTTCGACGATGCGTCGGTAATATAGTTACGTAATTAAGCAATCTCATCGTTACGATAATCTTTTTCTTTTTTTAATTTCACCGAAGTGAAAAATAATGATTAATAAGAGTTACTAGTAACGGCGAATAAAACGTACGTTATACGATTGCAGGTCGCTAAAAAAAGCGACACGTCTTGGGGATCTATCGAAGAGAAAGGAAGTTAGAAATATTAATTGAGGTAAAGATTAAGTCATCGATGTTGCTCGTACAAAGTGTCTGAGAAATTGTAAATTTTCTACTAAACATACAAAAACAAAAAAAACGACAAGTTAGGGTAGATTCTAGGCAGTAGGTCGTGAGGGTAGGTATTGTAAAGTGTCCTCGGGGTGTGAAACGACGAAACGCGAATTTCTTTCCTTTTCGTAAATTTTTCATTGTACACAAGAATAAATACGGGGATCAGAGGGTTTCGATCCCGAGGATCTATCGTTGTCGTCGTCGTGGTCGTCCTCCACGGAACGTATCGTTAGACGTTAAGTCCCTAGGTGTACACCGAACTATGTCACGATAAACACGATGAGCCATTATGACACTTTAGATATTAAACGTTTAAGTCGATAAGAAGGGAAATAAAAAGTAACGAGAGACAGAGAATATAAAGAGCGTAAGTGAACGACAGAATGGAATTACGAGGAATGAATGAAACGAGAGATTATGCGTGAGTGTAGTGAATTGTTACACACCTGTGTCTGTGGGGTATCATTTCATTATTCTATTTTCTTTTTTTCACGCGCATCTTGCCGTGATGTTAAAAAACGAGCAATAAAATGTCGTGTTCTTCTTACACCCCGTAACTAGCGATAAATATTCGAGACACTCTATTGGAAATTGATTTCTATTTATAGCAAAAACTATGAAAGCAATACTACTATAGTACTTGCAATCAATAATAGATTGTAATATGAACTTTGAGTATGGAAAGGTCAAATGATAACATCATGCAACATTTCCGTCGAGGAAATATATTATAGGAACTTTGAATCACCATTTTCTGTATTTCTTAATCAACGATCATTTTCATAATCATCGATTTCAATGAAATAATTTACGGTTTACGCATGTATTGGAACACCGACATTCTATTGCCCCTTTATACATATATACATAGTATACTGATAATATAATGTTTTCTACTATAATTAGCGAGGCAAACACCATACGTTCGTTGTGTGAGTTGACTAATTTATTATTAATATAGAATGACGATGCACGTGGAAAAAAAGGCATCATGTTTACGTAGAGATTTAGAAGGTAGCTGTATTACGTCCAAGTAAACTTTTCTATGAGCGTTTTATACCGATCAAAACGACGTTGTTGTGTTTATTCAAGGGGAATGATCACTTTTTAAGGGTTTCGCTAGCGATCATGTTGTCGCCATAGTTTCGTAGAAGATACGTAAAAAGGGAAAATGGATACGATCATGCACGAATTCGATTTGTCAGTGTCCTGATTTTCTCCACGTTTGAATGTCACCTGTTCGCATACATCATTTCATCCGAGCAAGAAGAAAGAGAGTAGTATATTTAAATGTTAATATACTGGTAAAGGGCATCATGTGGCCTTTCCACTGGACCTAGAGACTGATATTGTTTAGACGAAGAACAGAACAGATTAACATTCGAATATATATGACGACTGTGTTCGACAAAATTAATTAGACCGATGAGACAGGTAATTGAAATCGTTTAGATAGCCTCAGGAAAAAATGACCATCTGTTCTGGGCGATCAAAAAATATTTCTAATACTACATAAAAATGTAAGACAATCAAAAATTCGAAATTCAAAATTTTAGAACGATCGAAGTCTTAAAATGAAATTTTGATAATTTTCACCTTTGCGAAAATTTAGAACCAATTGTTGCTAAAATCAAACTGGTTCCAATTACGTGTCTCATTCATTATGTACGTAACATAAAATACAAATTTTCTTACAAAGTTAGTACAAGATGAAAAATTTGGCAGTTCGAAACTGTTTCGATTATTATTCTACAGAAGGGTTTTTCTACAAGATAAGAATAATGAAAAATTCTGATTGGCGTGTTTCGCGATAGGTTCGAAATGAAATTCTGGTCGGGAGACGCTACGTGTTCCGAATTGATTATCGCGTGTACAAGGTGTTCATAGGTGTTCCAATTTTCAAAAGAATTGAATACACGAATGCAATAATACTATCGTTCGTCGTACGTCCTGTTGTCCAAAGCGAAGCATCACTTAAACGTGTGCTGGCTGATTTACCCGACAATATAACAGCTATCGATTTCTTTCCGTTAAGATTTCTCGACCGTGCTATCAACAAATTATATAGCAGAACGTTAAAATTAAATTAAACGTGTGCCGTCGTAGTTATCGATCGAGTAGTACTTTATAACTTCGATTCTATTTTTACTACTCTTCTGAAGCAATTGTTTTTGCAACTTTAATCAATTTCATAATTCATTAAGTCGCATGGACAATTTTTAGCACTTGTAAATCTTATCGTTAGCGTTTTCTCAATTTCTTTTTCATTCGAAAACTGCTGCAGTGCTGTCGAATAAGTTATTCTTGTACCGCGTCTCTCGGCTTGGACACAAGTTTCGAGTATGACACAAATGATTTGTTTCTGTATGATTGATAGTGTCCAATTGTGAAGTAAAATGAAAAAGCTTCGTTTCTCTGTCTTGGAATTCCGTTTTCGTTGTGGCTCCGTTCATGTAAAATTTTTAATAAATCTGTGATATAGCGACAGACCTCATGTTTTGATACAGAGTTTGAGTATTGCGCGGGGCTACTACGAAATCATCGTACCCAAAAATTTTTCTTCAACGAACCGTTCGTTCGTAGGTGTCGAAAAGAAATGAAAACGAGAGTCGTCACGTGATGCGCACACCAAATAGATGGATATTTTTTAATGCATTTAGGCTTTCGTCGAGGTTTTTCACAGTACACCGCGCGTCAACATGGTTCACTCGTACCTAAAGTAAAAGAAACAAAAGAAATGGATCAATATATCGTCATTGTTTACGTACCAAAGCTTATTATCATTAAGTAATTTAACAGTTACTTTGTATCATTGTATTAAGTATCATAAGCCTATGCAGATAAATATATTATGTATCATATTAACAGAAAAGTGTTAAACGATATTCATATGATCTACTCCTACTCTATGAGCAATATTTATCATTTTCTCAACGGTCATAGCGTGTAGCAGAAGATCAGGAATTTCAATAATACAGAGAAGTAAGTCCAAGAAATTTATTCTAGTACCAATATTTCATCATTGCAATACAAAAATTTTATAAAGAAACGTATTCCTTCTTCCATTCGAAACTAAATGACATTGAACACAAACAATTTTTGAAAACAAATATCACGCGGTTCCATTTTTTTTCCGTTTATCATTATGTTCCTTTTTACCCTTTTTTAGTCCTTGTTACTGAAGCGACGTTTAAATTTCGTCACTTCTAATACTTTTTTTTCTCTACAAAAACGCAGATTTCTTTTTTTTTGTTTTTTTCCTTTTTATTACATATTATGTATAATTTAGGTACCAAATTAAATTAGATTCGTAGCAAACATACAGCATTTTAGACTTGAGATCATGCACAAACATCGCATGGTAGTCTTAGAAAAACTGTATCAGAAATCTTTCAATTTTAATTCAACGTATTATAGTTAAATATACATCATTTCTGCCATATGTGACATCTTCTTTGGAATATGAACAAACTCCTCGAAGTAGCTGGCAAGCTCATCAATCGTGACATCGCATGAAGGTGGAGATATTCTTGCTTGTACTGAGCATGTGTTTGAACTCGAAGGTTGACCGGTTGAACCATTTGTTTCTGATTGACTATTACTACCTCCACCTGGACCAGGCCCTCTTTTTAAACTCGGCATCGTATTACTACGTGCTCGTTGAAAACTACTAGCTTGATAATTATCTTGAATGCTGGTATCGTCCTTAGCTTGTCTAGACTCTTGGCTAATATTCAGTTCTTTAAAATCTTTAGCAACCGAACCGTGGCCAAAAATCTTCGAGTTCTTACCACAAATACTAAATTTACATGTATCTTTAAGCAATGTACTTGCTAGATTATCACTAAGACAATTAGTACCAGTATCATTTAATTTTAAAACAGCCTCTTTGATTATTGAGTTTTTCTTGTTTTTATCAAGTGCTCTTTCATTTTTTGATGGTTTGAAGTTCGTTGTGCTTTTTACACCTCTAGGGCTGATTGTGGATAACGTTGGCCTAACAGGCATTGACCTTTTTTGAAATAAATAACTGCAGTCAGAACCGATGCTTTTACTTGCTGTTCTAAACGGGTTTGGAGATTTCGTTTTGTCAGTAGGTGTAATACTGAAACAGTAGAAAGCAATGTTGACAATTAATATCTAAATACTTTAAATAAACGTAATTATCAAAAGTATAAAGAAATTATTTCAAGAATTGCAGCATTATGAATGGAACTATATTTGAATGTGGATTGAAAACATATGTTGTAATATTATTCAAACTTGGAACAAACGATTATTTAGAGTCATCCAATGATGAATCATCATTCTGAACACATAACCTTGAATCAACTATTGGTAAACATTTCTTTCCCGTTCATGAGATAACGGAACGCGAACAAATATAACTCCTATTGAAGGTATATGTATCAATTCCGATATTAGAATCATCAGAATATTTAAAGAGAATCTGAATTCACGTTAATACACAGCAACTAATAACATCAATTTTTCCACTACACTTGCATTTTATCGTCGTTTCACGATATCATCGATGCGTTATTCACCTCGATGCAACTAATCACGAAGAAACGGTCTCACGAATCGCAATACGATATCATAACATTTCTTGCAAGCCGTTGTATAAACTTGTAAACATTACAGATTTCCTTACACATGACAGTCAACGATGTTATTTCGCACCGTCGAGAATAAGAAATGACGGTCGTTGAAATGCATGTTCACGAGGGCTTGCATCGTTAATAAAATCAAAAACACGTGCAATGTAAACAGTGATCGTCACGTACGGTTGGAAAATGAGGTAACGTTAATCGAAGACCTTGACCGCTTGTGAAAAGGGATTGAATCGCAAAAACGTCCACGATACGATACATTGAACGACTACACCGGCGGATAGAGAATGTTCGAGGGAATGGAAAGGGTACGGTTGCGTTAGGAGCAGGCGCTTTAAATGAGCTTTTGGGCGGTAAATGCTTACTGAGGACAACTCGAGGATAGACGATCAATTTCGAGTTTCTCCAAACTCGCCGGCAACACTTCGTCAGCCATGCTCACAATTTTGCGCGGTTCTCCGTTCAACGTTTGTGGGAACATGGCATCATGTTGAATCAATGTTGGCAAACAACCATTGACAGCGTGTCGGAAAATTCCAGAATGAAGAGTACAACGTTTCGAGAAATAGGTTAGAACGACGATGACGACAGGCGGAATTCTTCGACGACGACATTCACTGTGTTTCGTTTTGTATCCTCGGCGAATTGTTCCTTGTGTATCACTCGTGCACCATCGCGATTACGTTATTACGGCACACACTCATCGAATATCGCTCGTGGACGCGGGTTCGCGATCAATTAATCATCGACAGCACGTAAATAAACAGACTTTTGCGCGCAACTGCTATACCACTGCTGCTCAATACCGGAAGCGACAACTCTAGATGGCGCTACAAGTGTATCCCGATCTCGCGCCCGACGCCATTTAAACTTTCGA